AGGTCCTATTACCCCCCGAACTTATTTTATATATAATTTTCTACCCCATTTCGGCCTACGTGGCACCATCTTGTGGGCCCAGCGTGTGTTGACAATTTTTTCAAGGATAGTGCCACGTAGGCCGAAAAGGGGTAGAAAATTATATATAAACTAAGTTCGAGGGGGTAATAGGACCTTAGTAAAGGTTAGGTGTGTCTTAGGGATTTTGGGCATAGGCTGGGGGGTACTTGTGCATTTTCCCAATCATCTATACATATGGGAACCTCGTGGGTGCACTAAACTAACATAATATAGAATTGGGAAAGTGAAAGTGGCCTAAGTGATGCCACATTATTATTTTTTTGGGCCTTGTAACTTCATGTGGTGTGTTAATACTCGGTGTGAAGTGCTGGATATTTGAAGGAAATAAACATGGAATAACGTAGAGAAAACAAACACAAAAAATCAGTCAACTTTGTTGGGTCTATCTGTACCTTGTTACTAGGACATTTTGTGTTCATTTGGACGGAATTCCTAACATCCATCAAGGACTTAATTTTTGACAAGTGGTAGGTTCTAGAACCTTTTAGTGAGAAAAACCCAAAATTGTCCCTTAAGTTTGGACTCTGAATCAAAGTCATCCATATTCTATTATATGGAGCAGAAATAGTCCCTTAAGTATGCATAATTAGTACACTTTTAAAATGACGACACAAAGAGGTAGGAAAGAAAGAGAGTGGTGTGAATAACACGTGATTGGGATCTGTTAGGTTTTAACATCTTCATTAAGTTTAGACTAAATGTGTATTAATTTTGCATACTTAGAGGATCATTTGTGCTCCATATGATAGGATAGGGATGATTTTAATTTAGAGCTCAAACTTACGGGACATTTTTGAGCTTTTTCTCACCTTTTAATTATTAATAAATCTTCCATGTGTAAAAAAGGAATGCAATATTTAGTTATTTTCATACTTAAGGATATCCTGTCTTATATTTTGATCTTGAAATTGTTCTTTGTTCGAGGTATTTAAAATTGATAGCTAAAAAATATATTAATTTCTAATTATGTGTTTTTTTTTTTTTTTTAATCACATATGGTAATAAACCAACTGGAAGTTGGATAGAGTGATGTATTGTAGTTTAAGAGTTTCTGTTGGAAATAAAACATTATGTATATATTTTAGATAATACACCACATATCCATTTTGCAATATGATTAACCAAACATTAACATAGCTGCATCTGATAACTATAAAAGCAATCCAGTAGTTATTATATGGTCCATGAATCAAATGGCTCAAGTGTAAGAAGTTATATTCTTGAGAGTTGATTGTGAGAAACTTTACTGAATGGTAAGGGGTCATTCTCTTTACTTAATGTCTACTCCTATTTTTCCTTAATTATTAAGGAAAATGCTTTCATTAATCCATTCAATATCTGATATTATGCAAAAAGATGAACGTCTTAAAAGGTGAGGGAATAAATGCAAAAATTGATTTGAATTACAACACAACTTTTGAACATCAGCATTGGCCAAGTAGTTGTATTCTTTACCTTTGTTGTTATTATCATCGTTGTCATTATTTATTTTTTGTTTTTTCAATCAATCAACTATACCTTAATTTTATATTATTCCAAATTAGTCGAAGTTGGTTGTATGAGTTTTGTATCCATTCACTCGGGTCTATTTCATTCAAATGCTAAATAATTCGTCTTTGAAGGCTAATTAGGGGGTTTCTCTAGAGCTAGAGGTTCTTTAGGCCTCACACTTCTTATCCCATATAGTTTTACAAGTCTATGACTAGGATAAAAAGAACTTTGACACAACTTATGTGGTTTCAATCACTCATTTGCTAAAAGTGTTGCAAAATTAATGAATGCTTACTAGAGTTGCTAATCCGCCTACTTTAGGTGTGACAATAATAGAAGAATGATGGAAATTTTATAAGGGTATCAAAACCAATAAAAGTTCACAGGGCTTAAAAAGATAAGTGCTTGTTTGAAAAGAACAAGCGTCATGCTTTATCTTGTAACATAGCAAGATTTTAAGTATCTGAAAATATTGAGGAACCCGTCAAGTACAACATTCCAAATTTCCTTTTCACTTAAGAAGAATCGAAAAAGTGCATCCTTCTCAGGGATACTCTTAATGCATATCATATATGATTTTGTCGGATGACGTTTTAGCTATAAAGCCTTCTGTTACGTTACAAAATAGAAGGCAAATACCAAAAAGGGAGAAAAAGTTGTTTCTTTTGTTTCCTACTGGTGGAGTCAATTTTACTTCAGTTGATCTCTCGCTGGGCAATTTCAAAACTCCTCTGTTCATTTCTTTTGATGACATAAGTTGTTGATTTTTGATTGTGCATTCTGGTAGTCTAGGAGGATTCCTATCAATTTTGCGATCCAGAAATGGTATGCGGTCTGCTTACCGTCATCTTGTGATATCACTAATGCATCTAACTTTTGCTGTTGTTTTTTTATTTAAATGAATTTCCATGTTTAACTCTTCAATTTCGGGCATGAAAACATTTATTTGCATTAGATATCTCGAGTTATATCTTCTTTATTTACCTTAAAAGAGAAAACTTAACCTAGAGATTTGATTTTTTAGTTGGTTGAGAGAGCACTTGAAGAATCCGGTGATGATCTAGATTCTGCTATAAAACGCCTGAATGAGCTCCGCTTGGGATCTGGTGATAATCTGAGGCCTGTGGCAGGAAGCTCTGGTGCTACGCATGAGTCCAGCAGCCAGGTTTTTACTCAAGGTGCGCATTGATATTTTTTTGTTTGTTTTTGATTGGTGGTTGATTATTTCCCCCCTTTTTGGTGTTGTTGCCTTGACTGAGATCATTTTAGAGATCATTTTTTCAACTTCCTACCCATTGTAGTATGCCTTAGTGTTGATCTTTTTGTAATGCTCAGCAAATCCATATGTTAATTCTTTGGTGTAAGCAGCCGCTAATGCTTGCATTAGGGTAGGCTGTCTACATTACACCCATTGGAGTGCGGTCCTTTCTTGCACCCTGCTAACTCGGGTGCTTTGTGCACTGAATTGCCTTTTTAAAAAACTTTGGTGTAAAAAGAAATGGTTAGAGGATAGTGAGTCCCCGTTACAATTCATTGATGAGTCGTTTGGTGTGAGGTATAAGGTATAATAATCCCAGGATAAAATGCAGGATTATTTTATCCTGCGTTTGGTTGGAGGTATTGGGTAGTCCTTGGATTATACCATAGTGATGGGATAAGTTATTCCATATACATGGTGGGATAACGTATCCCGGGATAACTTGTTCCCAGCCAAACGACCCTTGAATCTTTTGTATATATAGCCAAGTTTCATTCATTTATTTTTTAATTACTTTTTTGATGTAATCATGACACTTCTTAGTGTTGGTTTTGACATAAATAATACTTGTCATTTTAACAAACAAAAAATCCACATGATGTCATCATTCATCTGTGTAAAATTCTGCTCTTTCTTACGCCAAGTACTGCACTTTATTGATTTTCCCATTTTCTAAATGTTTGTCAGTGTCCTGTCAACTCACCTACTTCTGCTCTATAACATGTATCAATTTTGGAGATATTTCAATTGCGAATGCTTAAGTAACTGCTTATCATTTTAATGCTTCACAATTTGTGGGTTTTGTTCTTCTTAAATTGAGCATGTGGCCACTTGTGGTCCATATTATTAACTCGTCATCTTGCTTTGTTTCGGCAATTTCATACTTGTAAAGTTGCTTGATATTTATGGTGGAGGTTTATCTGCTTCTTTGCTTGCGCTAACAAACCACCACTTTATGTATCTTAACCCAACTAACTATTGAAGTATCTTATAGCATGGTCGTTCTTGTGATAGCTTCATCTCTTTAATTTTCTACCTTTAATGCTTATTCTTTTTTTTCTGCTCGTGGTGAAGGGCCAATTTTACTTGAGCCGAGGGTCTACCAGAAACAACTTCTCTACCTACACAAGGTAGGGCTAAGGCTGCATACATACTACCCTCCGCAGACCCCACTTGTGGGATTACACTGGGTATTATGTTGTTAGTGGTGAAGGGCCAATTAGTATTGTGTCATTGAGTGGAAGTATAAGGGAAAGAATTGGTAGTAATATAGGAAATTAAACAATAAAAGTGCCTTATTTATGGTTGTGATTCAACTAAAAAGATTGACTAGTCAATAAGGGAATCAGAGTTTTGGTTAAAGACCAACACACTCTTTCATGACACAGTTAAGTTTGGTCAGGGTAAGCTGTATAGTTTATTGGAATATAAATGTCTTGTTTCTTGAAAACTATTGCTGCTAATCCCCATACTTTTTAATCTCGTGATCAGACAATGAGAGGTAAATTACTCATATAACTCTTCTCTGTGTGCTTCTTTACTGCTAAATAATTACACCAGACAACCCTGTTATGAAAAGATGGGAAGACTTAAAAGAAATTGCTTCTCTACCATAAAGTAGAACTGTTTCCAACCTTGCTTTGCTGAATGTATTTGAAAACTGTGTAATTTATGTCTCCATCTTGATCCACTTGTGACAAGTGATCTTCACCACTGATATTAAGCTGTAACATTACATTCATTTTTTGTTTTTTAAAGCACTGGATGTAGATTCGCTGGCACAATTCTGATTTCCCCTTACATTGGCATAGTTCCTTCACCTTGTTGCAGGTGCGGCTACAACTAATGGTGAGACCCCATCTGCAGAGGATTTATCTTCTGCAAAAGTGGTGCATTTGCAGGGTACAGAATGGGTGGATCTTTTTGTTGGAGAGATGATGAGTGCATCAAATATAGATGATGCTAAAGCCCGTGCTTCACGAGCTCTTGAGGCTCTTGAGAAGACCATATGTGCTCGTGCAACAGAGGCAGCCTGCCGTTTCCAGAAGGTGGACCCCAAGTTCTTTTAAGTATTTATTTTTCCTGCATTGTGAACACCCTGACATCTCTTTTATTTTCTATGCATTACAAACACCCTGCCATATTTCAATCTTATTTTCTTTTTCATGTCTACACTTACTATGGGCATATAGTGCACAGTTACTTTTGGGGGACCTCAATAAGAGGTAAATGAAGGAATGCAACAAAGAACAAATTGCTTAAATAAGAGAAAAAAGAAAATAGGTATGATATAGAACTGGTAAGTGTGTTTTTACTTCAATGTCAACGTGAAGAAAATAGTTCTTCGGAAAGGGTGAGATGCTTATATGTTGAGTGCTTGTGTCTCATTGGGGAATAAGCTAGTAATATTCGTTCTTTGTGACCTTCTTGTGTCCCCCTTCCCCCGTCCCATTTTCTTAAAAAAAACAATGTTCGTTAACATTGGGGTGTCTGTGCTGGCATAGCCCCATAGGACAGACTGATTATCTTGTTTATTCTGGTTTGTTACTCGTATATCTTATTTTGATGAAGTTTGTTAATCAAAGAGAAAATTGCTATCCATATCCATATGCTTATAGTTTGGTTGTGATACAGGAGAATATGATGCTCAAGCAGCAGTTAGAAGCTCTTATACAAGAGAATGCTATTTTCAAGCGAGCAGTTGCCATCCAGCATGAGCGTCAGAAGGAATTCGAGGATAGAGGGAACGAGTTGAATCAGCTGAAGCAGTCGGTGGCTCAGTACCAGGAGCAGCTTAGAACCCTTGAGGTCAAATTTCTCTTAGAACTGATGATATTTTTGTGGTTCATTTCTTTTGCTGGAAATTACATATTGCTTCTCATTCTGTCCATTCTTTCACTATAACCGAATGACAATAAGATGCTTATCGGGGTTTGTGATTATAATTTTCATCATTTTCTTTTCTTACTGTTCTGGACCCACTTCTCATTGGTTGTTTTGGCCTTTCTGTGTCATCAGGTCAATAACTATGCTCTCACGATGCACCTCAAGCAAGCTCAACAAAGCAACAATTCTATTCCAGGACGTTTCAACCCCGATGTCTTTTAGTATGTATTATGTCCCTATTGGCTACCTAACATACATAGGTAGCAACAGTAATATCCTGTCGTCACAGTAGCAGCAAATGTTTCCTAGAGATGAATGATGATATTAAGCTAGAACTTCTGTCTTTTGATTAAAGTGCCCTGCTACAGTTACTAGACAAAGGGTACTTTGTACTGTTCATACAAGTTCTTATTTGTTTAACTGCTGTTGTTTCAATTAGAGTATCGAAAGTTCATACAATTCTGTTCTTCTTCTGCTGTTAAGAAGATGTTCAACACATGATTGTTATGCTTTATTTGTTTCTTTCGTCGGATTTCATTTCTGCTCCATTTGATACCTTTAAAATTCTCATGTGTATATGATATATCGAGTAAATTTACTCGATCCTATGGGAATGACGTTGCCATGGGCTGTAAATCTCGTGAAACTGGCAAAGTTTCAAAATCTTGATACTCTATGGGTACAAAATGAAGTCTCATGGATGAATTCTAAAAGGGCAGCCAGTGTACAAAGCATCCTGCGTTCACGCATAGTCTACCCTAATACAAGCACTAGTGGCTGCTTTCACGATTTGAACCTATAACTAATGAATGAATACTAGTATATCCTCTCTTTTTTCTGAGTTGGAGGCTTGTAAACTTATATAGATCAATCATCATAACATTAGGATATAAATAAAGTAACTAGTAATTAAACATAAAAAATTTCAGTAGAACCATGAGCTTGTTTGCCCTGAAAGCCACTCATTAGATTTATACTTGCTCTTTCCCTACACATTCAATTGACAAAGGTTGAGAGACTTGTGTTTTAAGGCAGTACAAATCCAAGTTCTACATCAAGCGAACTACGTTCAGTATTTAAATAGAGAAGAATAGAAAGACGAGCTTATCATCTCGAGTTTCGTGCCTAGAAGGTTGTATAACAATAGAGAGATTACAAAAGACAACTAGAAATTTGTATAGCTTGTAACAAAAGGCTATTTTCTTCAATTGGTATATGGTTGCTTATGAAAATGGAACAAGAGTTCCACAAGCTTTCATCATCTTCTTGAACTCATCAAAATTCACCATTCCATCTCCATCCACATCAACTTTCTTTATCATTTCTTTACAATGATCCAATTTCTTACCCTCTTTCATTCCTAAAGATGAAAGAATCTTACTCAATTCTTCTTCTGATATTAATCCATCTTTATCATGATCAAATACATCAAAAGCTTCCTTAAGACCTTGCTCTCTATTAGCCACTTCTTCTTCATTCATTTCACCTTCTTGTTCCACTCCCTCTATTCCCAAGAAAGTATGACAAAGTTCATAAAACTCATCAAGATCAATTAAACCATCTTTGTTTGAATCAACCTTCTCAACCATATCAACAATATCTTTATCCTCCATAAAAATCCCAATATTCTTGAGAGATAGCTTCAATTCTTGCTTTGTTATGTAACCATCATTGTTCTTGTCAAAAGTTGAAAAAATACCCCTTAGTTCAACCTTGTTGTAATTGTTAAAGCTTTTTACCTTCTTTTGATCAGCCATGGATGTTGTTGCTGATGATGATGAGGGTGTTATTATGGTCTTCTCTTGGAGAGGTTGAGATTTTAGTGAGATTGATTGAATCAAAGAGTGGAACTTGTCAGTTGGGAAATTGAAAATTGTTGTGATTAGGCCAATAATGAAGAGAATTGCTAAGAACAGAATGGTTAATAGTGTCAACATCTTTTATTTTGTTTTGTGATGGTTGAAGTTCAATGGGAATAGGAAGAAGAAGTGAATATTAATGGTGAAAAAGATGGAGAATTGAGCTTAAATGAAAAGAAACAAAGTGTCAATAAGTTGAAGAGGAAGAGATACCCTTTGTCAAAAGTAACTAGAAAACTACTGATTAAGGTTTGTGGTGGGGTAGCTAGGAAAATGAAAGAAGAAATCCAAATTTGTTAAGGGAGTGTGAGATAACGCAGGTGACTAATCGTTGGGGTTTTTTAGCAATGATAGATGAACTAATCAGATGGCCGGTGTTGTTCTAAATCTAACGTTGATATTTAAATAAAAAAATCAACATCAGGTTCAAGCTATGCAAAAACACACGGACTGAAGCGAAAGATCACAAAATGTAACATAACAAGGGGTCGTTAGATCAGAAGTTGCACAACGGAAGAAACTAAGAAATCAGAACTGAAACTTGAAGTAAAGGCGAAAGATTCTTTTAATCTTAATCAGATATTTTAAATTTTAACCTTTGAAATAAAAAGTTCCTAATAATCACTTCCTCCTTAATGAGCCTTTAATAAATAAAGCAACTTTTGCTGGTGAATAATTATTAGGCACATTGTAGTCCCATTTTGGTCCCCTATTTTTGACCTCATTTTCTTTAATTATTATTTTCTTTTTCTTTTACCTTTATTCCTTTAATGAACTTCTCAATATATTTTGGTGCACAAAACGTTTCATGTTCATGCAGGGTACGAGGAAAGATGCACCCTAAGAAGTAAGAAGATATAATGTTAGTAGCATATTTTGACGTAAACATCAATAGTTGATTTTACGGTTCGAACTCGTAACTTATAAGTTAAACATATATAATTTGTTGTTGCTCCAAAACTCCTTTTCAAACCGATAATATTATAAGAATTTAAATTATAGACATTAACAATGTAAATATTTATTACTATTCTCATAGTTTAACGTGTGATAATAAGTTTTTAAACCATTTTTACGTAGTTGCCAATTAATGCTTATTATTATAAATTACTTATGAATATTTTTTATTGGAAAACACAAAAAAAAATATTCCATAAGATTGCATCTTTGAGAATAAAATACAAAGTGGAATGCGTTTTATCAAGGCAAAGAATCTTTCCTAAATTTTCACGTTTAATTATTTGTAAAATTAAATATATAATATAGTTGGAGCAGGCAGAAAAATATATACAAATTTATATATACTAAATGAAAACATTATATTTTACTTCTTTTGTCATTTTTAAAAGTGCTATTTAATTGTTTTAAAAAAAAAGGTGCTATTTAATCATTTATAAATGAAGTTAAAATTTGTCAGTGATAGGAATTTTCAAAATAATAAAATGTGTTACTTGGAATATATTCTACTATATACTTAATTTTTACTGGCATTTAACAGATAAAATTTTCCTGTTCAATTTTATGAAACAATAAAAAGTTTTCCTTGGGACTTTATTGCAGCATATATTCTTTGCTTTTCTTTCATGCATAGTTCAATTAAATTTTGATTCTTCACTCAACCTCCCCCACCCCCACTAGGGCGGAGCTAGTAGCCTGGATACGAGTACGGTCGAATTCAGTTACTTTTACTCAAATAGTATATTTGTATTAAGAAGTTTATGTGTGCAAATATTAAATTTAGAACGCAGTTATCAACACTTCAAATCGTCATTATAAAATTTAAAATTCATAATGTTAACTTTCTGACTTCGCCTCTGCCCCACCTCCCAAAAAAATCTAGAATATTTGTACGATTTCAAGATTATATAATCCTCTACATTTCTATATCAAATTATCCGTTAAGATTTCAGTACTTTAAGGACTTGTTTTCGAACTTTTATGGATAAAATTCATAAATAACCAATTTTTAGCCTATATTATTGAAAAATAATCATTGTCGTGAAGTTTCAAATCCAATATATGGAGCTTCAGGACATTGTCACACCTAGAGTGTACAAGTCAAACCGAACTGACGAACCAAATTAAATCAAATCAGAAAAAAAAATCGATTTGTGGTTTGGTTTGGTTGGTTTGGCAGTTGAAAAAAAAATACGATCACTCTTGGTTTGGTTTGGTATTAAAAGAAAAAAAGTCAAACTGAACCCAAACCAAACCGAAAAAACCAACTTTATCTGATTTGATTTGGTTTTTAGATTTAATAAACCGACATAATTGATTAGAAAAACCAAACCAAACCGACCTATATACACCCCTTAGTCACACCGTTTCATATATGACATTTGAAATTTCAAAATAATGGCTATTTTTAAAATACAATGACCGAAAAATGACCAATGGACGTTATTTTCACAATTTTTCCACCCTCCAAGCCCACCAACAATGAGACCCAAAACCTCTTTGCTACACAACACTAATTAGCAAAGCCCAATATCTCTAGATAGTAGCCCAATAAGCCTTTTTTCTCATAAGCCCAATAAGCTTGGATAGTTACTCAATACGTTTATTTCTTTATTTTTTAAATTCTCTAAGTGAAATATTTGGTTTTGCCTAGTGTATACAAAGTTTTATCTGATTATAATATAAATTTTTTTCCTCAAAGAATGTTCAATTAACCAAACTGATGAATCCAACTAATAGTTCGCGGGTTAATTTGTAGAACTCTGTATTACGTTATCTACTATTGAACCCTATAATATATACATGGAGCTTATAAGTATATATTTATAACTTATGTCTTTTATTCAAAATAACTCACAATGTCTAAAATATAGATCCACAACTACATTAAAAAAAACTGAGCCGTGAAAGCAACTATTATTATTTCTTTTAGGGTAAAAAAACCCCTACATGAACGCGAGATGTTTCATTTATCAGATTGTCCCTTTAACAACATAAAATACAAACCTATAAAAACAACCACTAATACTTGTATTAGTTTATAGATTGTCTTCGACTCTATGTCATATTACCCCTTAGAATGTAGTTCTTTTCCGAATTCTATGTTAATATGAAATATTTTATACATCGAACTGTCTTTCTTAACTGCCGTAAAAAAACAAAGGGAGTGGGCGTGGGGTTGTTAGTAGCTGGTTTTGCAGAGCACACGTGAATTTACTTACACAGAGTATTGCAGAGAAAAAAACATATATGCATGCAGTCTTCCAGAAAGTGTTTATGTACTCTGCCGTTTGGGACTTTTTGCAGTCCAACCACACGACCAAAACCAACCTAATCTATTTCCGTGCCACCGTCAGAATTTAAAGTGTATGAATTTTATTTTAAAAATTTAATCGAGGCCTCGTATTTGTATTTTCTTCTCGATTGGTGTATGTAACTTTTTGAGGTGCAACATTAACTACATTTTATATATTGTTGACGTCGATAATTTTTTTTGGTATAGAAATATCGATCACTATCAGTCATTTTTCAACTATGTCTTTGAAAAACAATCATTATCATGTAATTTCAAGTTCATATGTGAACATATCCTGAAGTTTCACCTAAGAAATAAAAAAAAACTCCATTAGGGACGTGGTTATTTTCAATTACAAGGGCTAAAATTCGATATTTGTGAATTTCACTTTTTTTTAAATTGCAATTTTTGAG